GGCCGTGAGCCCGGCCCTCGCTGCAGTGACGAGATCGGCCGCACCGCCCAGACCCCGAGAGTCAGGCGACACCCTAATCCAGGCGGCCGAGCCGCTCTCAGTCCTCCCGAATCCGGAGCGGACGTGTTCCGAGAGCCGATTCACCCACGGGCGCGCGGAGAAGCCCGCGTAGCGCCGGCGAATCCCGGGGCGGAGGAGGCGCGGGGGCGTTGCAGAAGGGGGGGAGGGGAGACAGTGGGGAACCCAACCGCGGAAAGCGAACTTCCAGGGGCTTTCCTGCGGAGGGAGGGGTGGGGGAAGGAAATTGGCTGATCGGAACCCCTTGTCCCCTCCCCACCCCACATACACACGCTGTCCCGCGGTGATGGGATAGAAAAGAGGCACCGGGGTCAGGCCGATGCTATTAATGGCCGTGGGAAAAGTCGTTAGAGCTAATCCTACCCGGAAAAGCTGATCTGGAGAGCTATTGACTTATGTTCTAGGTGGGCTTCGACGGTCCCCGAGATTGTAGGTGGGTGATTAGTTTCCTCAGCCAGAATTCTCAAAAGAACCTTTCCGTGATAGAATCCGCTAACATGAGACCTGTGAAAAAAAGTCAGCCCTGCGGATTACATGTTAGTATTGAAAGCGAAAAGGGCTCCTAACTGGCATCCTAAAAACCCAGGCCTGGCCATGAAGGAGGTCACCAGTACTTGGGGGAGGGGGTGAAGCAGAAAGGAGGTGTGGCACAAAAGAAGCCGAAGTATGCCCCGGGGTCTTTCAGGGTGGGATATCGCTGGAGTGGGGATGGAGAACCAACCCGAGCCCCACGCAAATGGAATGGATAGGCGCTCTTCCTGGGCCTCTTTGGTATAAACACCCCTGCTGTGAGTGTCCTAGGATAAGACGATTTTTCTCTTTTCTTTTGCTAGCTATAAGCTTTGCTAGGCTTTCCTGTGGCCATGCACGAGGGTGCGCAGACTCCAGCACACCCACCCCAGATGCGCGCACCGCACCCACGCGTAATCAGGACTCACAGAGCCTCCTCGTTCGAGAAACTCAAAAGAGTGGAGTACTTTAGATGTGAACGCCTTTCATCTCCTTTCTGTTCAGTTCCCTTCCTCCAGCCCGACCCTGCTCCCTCATCCCCTGGTCCCGAGCTCCTAGTCTAATCTTAGGTTTGGGAGTCCGCGAACCCCTTTTAAATGCTTTGCGTCCGAAGAAGCAAGGCTGGGGTTGCAGTTCCCGGCGCTCAGGCTCAGCCTCCATCCAGGTCGACGACGGTTGTCGGCTCCAGGCTTCAGGGATCTCGGCAGAAGGGAGAGCTGCTGCGTGAGATCCGAGTTCGAGATCAGGACCATAAAAACTCTTTCAGAAGACACTCAAATCAAAGGGACACCGCGGACAGATACTCCAAGGAACACCACTGAAGTCCAGGAGACGTCCCCATTGAAGCCATCGCCGCTTGCTCATAGCTTTCTGTCCCTCCGAGTGGATAATCGAAGATGCCAGAAGTCCAGGAGGAGCATCTGCATGCAAACCGAGCCCCCAGACTTCCCGAGGCATGAGGAGAGAAAAGTACTTCCATTTGGGTTTCACTTGAAACTTGGCAGCTCTGGGGACTTCACGGGAGGGTCGTGGAGAAGCAATAGCCCGGACTCCAGGCAGATCCAAGTGAGCACTTCCAAGTAGTTTACAGTGAGGGGAGGAGAGGGGGGGGGGAATCCTTCTTCCTTCAGGATTGTCCCACTTAAAACAGTTTCAAGCTGTGCCTGTCAGAACGGCCAACAGCTTTGGAAATAAGAATTTGTAGTTCCCTCCAGGGAACCAAAGTCCTTGCAAAAACATCGCATCAAAACTCCAAAGACCTTGTGTATCAGCTGGGCAGCCTAACTTTGCTTTCCATCCCCACCCTCTTTTCCTCTGTCTCTGTGTTTGAGCCTTTTTCCATTTTTGTGTGTTTTCGTTTTTGTTTGCCAACACCTGATAGGAGGTGAAAAGCAGAGGGTAGTTAGCAAACCGGGGGAAGATTGGGATGAAAACGAAGTTCAGAATCCATCCTTGCAATGAAAGCCCTAAGGAAGAGGAGGAGGGGCTGGGTCGCAGACTGCTAGAGAAGGCTGAAGTTACCTGTAAGGCGGCAGAACTATTCATTGTTCTTTCCGGTGGTAAGCCCAACCATACTCAGAAAGGTCTTGTTTGGTCTTCCTGAAAGTAAAGCATTTTATTTGCAGGTACCTTCCTCAGCTTTGACCATTTTATCTCAGCTCTGGAAATGAATGCCATCTTGGGCCAAGCACCAGAAAGCTTTCTACCAAATTTGTTCTTTAACCCTACTACACAAGCTGGTGAGAACTGCCTACAAGACAGCTTCGTTTTCCATGGTGATTGTGAGAACCTTGAAGGAGAGAGGCCAGGTTCTCTTTCACCAAGAGTTCCTTTAATGCTACAACCCCTTTAGAAGTATCTCTGAGAACTGGTTAGTTAAGAGCACTTTGGCTATCTAGTTACTGTTGTTCATAGTCAAATCTGAAGTTCTGTTTTCCTGTAGAATAGGTACTTTACACTCAGCATATAAAAAGAACTATTGTCTTTCAAATAAACAATTTACTTTGGCCTATTTCTTCAATAGAAGATCTGTCTTGACATAGTTAACGTATCCTGGGATTTATTTAAATGTCACATCGTTAAAAATTAATGTCAATTTTCGGTCACTCCCAGATAATTTTTTTCTAAGGACTGATGACCATAGATATTGAACACTTAATTTTCCTTAATGATCGAAATCTTTTAAAAATGAGCACTTTACTGATTTCAAATGAGCAAAAAATGAATACTTCAGGGTTAAAGATAGTTTTAGTATTCTGCATGTGTTACTATTTTTATTAGAGTTTTCTCTGAGATAGAGGAAAAGCATGACCTACTCTACTGAAAAATGTGATGTCCATAGCTAGATTCAAGCATATGCTAAGTAATTCTTTCTTTTTTTCTCTATTAGACAAAATAAGAAGCTTATTTTAAATTGAAAGTCTCTCTAGATTTTCTAATATTGAATTACTGTTGAGTTACTAGCCTTTGATACTTACAGTATATAATGTTCTCTGCTATCTCAAAATATGAAAATAATATGAAGAAGTAAAAAAGTGAAGGTTCCTGAAGCATTCATATTTTTTCAAAATAAGTTTAAACAAATAAATTCCACATATTGAAGTTTTCCTTAATTGCAATCATAGTTGTACTTCATGAAGTTCTGTAATATTTTAAAAGATCTAGTTAGGAACATGTTTCTGATTACTAACCAAGAGCTCAGAGAATACAGTGTATTTTGGCTACTAGATCTTATAAGAAATGTTGTTCAGCAAACCTCTAAACAGTTGAAAATCTGGCACTTTTATGGGTAAGTAAACTTATTTTTCACTTATGGACTTCAGAACACACACACACACAGAGTCAAACTTACTATTTAATATACTTCTGAGATAAATAAGATAGTTTCCTTTATTTTTATTTCTTGAATTTTTAACTTGGTCTTTGTAAAACACATTTATTTCCTCATATGTCTTTGTTATGACATTCAGTCTTTATGGACTAAGATGAGATCAAGGACTTCCTAATGAAAACTGGAACGAGTGTTCCTAACCCAATAAATGATTAGATGCAATTGTTTTATTTTACTAGTAAAAGTTGATTTTGAACCTTAATCTTTGAAATATCTGATTTTCTTAAAAGTATTCCTCTAGGCTAAGACTTTTGGAGACAGCTCAGAGAAAGAAAGGTATTTCAAAGCTACCCATTGCTAAGAACAGTTCTTAAACAATGTTAAA